AAAAAAATGGAACATTTTTACTAGGATATTGATTTAGACCTGATATTTCCTTCTAAACTAACTTAAAGTGATCACAGCATAAAAATTGAGCCCTAAGTCATCTTTATATTCACATTATTTCCGTTCTTATTCTGAGAGACAGCTCTATTTTGTGAAGCTTTCTGATACTGTATTCCTTTGCTTTTCTAAAAAAGGAAAATTATTACAAGGCAATCAATAATTCACCTCCAGCATTTTTTAATCATTCTAGGTTGTAGAGCTATTTTGTTTTAAAACATCTTTATGTGGGAACTTACTTTAATTGGACTTTGAGAACTGAGCGCTAGTTCTAAGCACTGGATGTCAGGCGGCACATTTTTACTCTGGTTTTGTCAATCTGTTTTCAGGCTATAGGTCGCTTAACAAAAAAATGGCTTCCTGTATGTTAGCACTGACTTCAGATTGAGTTTGCATCCCAGTCCATGCAGATCAGCCTTCTAAACGTTGAACTTCAATCCATCAGCTCCTTTATATAGGGCTCAAAACTTCCACCAGGGCAGGACAAGCCAAGCAAAGTAACTGTCCTTCCAAAGTGCACCGCCTTCCAGAACTTAACTTTCACATCAAATACCAACAACAAGAAACAAGCTTGTGTTTTATCCAGCTTTTTAATTTAATGATAAGCACTAGACCTAATTAATAGACTCAAAGATGCCAGTTTTCTTTATTTACCTTCTTTGTCTCGATAAACATGAGTGTGCTTGAATGGACACCTCTATTTTCCTTGGGGTTTTAAAGCTTCCTTTCATGTGTGTGAAAAATGGCTAAATATGTCAGGGTTTATCAAACAGAGCCTTGCTTTTTTGGCTGGTCTCTTTCGCCTTATCTAGCAAACACATTACCGTCTCCATCAAAATGTGGCAGAGCAAACACGGCAGTAGGCCCGCACACATAACCAGAGCTACCTTTAAACAGCCTCCAAACTCTTTAAACTCAGCTAGAAAGCTGATTAGGTCCCAGATCGTGGGTATTATCTTATTTTTGATAGCTGTGCTATGAAAAGGCAATAAAGAAAACGCTGTCTAATAGGAAGGCAAGTTAAAGTGTCTGCTTACTTAAGAGCTGCACTTAAAAGGAAGGCTGAAAAAAAAGGGAGAGAGCTGTGTCAACTAGTTTAACTGTTTGCAAATCTCAAAGGGAGCAATGTTGAAAAAAAGAATTTGTATGTGAGTTAAAGGAGAGCCGTGATATTCCCTTAAATCTCATCATTCACGTACAGGAAACCACAGATCACTGCGACGTGTTTTCTTTTCTGAGGCTATTCTAGTATCTTTGTTTAGTACCTTTTAGGCAACTTTGAAGCTATTATTAGTCCAAATCCAGGAAAGTCAAAGGATCCTTCTGGACCTATAAAACAGTCATGAAAGGACTAGGAAGTTATGTTTATTTTACTCAAGTTATCTCTACCTGATCTAAAAGAGTGAATTAATTAAGCAAAACATGGAGAAAAAAATGTGACACTGAAGTTGAGTTTAAACAACTGAGATTCACTTTTTTTTTTTTAATCAAATGGAGCAATGACACATGAGATTTAAGAGGAAACATTTTAGCAGATGAGCACAGTCTCATGCCTGGCTTTTGGAATTTTTTTAAACAACTTTATTGTGGTATAATTTCTGCACAGTAAACTAGCATATTTCAGATGTACAATTTGACAAATTTTGATAAATAGATGTATACACCTATGAAATGTGTCTTGATTGTGGCATTTTTTTTGGAATCTTAAGCTCACGAAAAGTCCAGCTGCCAGAACTTCATGGATTTGGGGTGTGCATATGAAATGGAGACAGATTCTCTTACACCACGAAGCAGGTTGAAGAGAAGAGATGTGAGCTGGATATGGAGTGCTGATTTAAAGAGATGAGGGGTGTGGTTCTAAGTGGCAAGGTCAATGCTAACACAAGTAAGAAAACACCAGCTCCTGCCCGGCCTTCTTTGCATGATTTAGTTCGGGGAGTGACATAAAATGAAAAGCACTCATACGTGAGGTTCTGTGATCTAATGGTAACAAAAGCAAGTCATATTCTGTGTCCTTGTGGGTTGACCTGAAGAGAAGGTGATGAGGGCTGTTAGTGGCCTCTCAAGCACTCTGGTTTCCCTTTAGCCCTGATCTCAAGTTACTATTTGAAGTGGCATCAGATCAGCTCCAAAGCAAAAAGAAAAATGTTCCATAGTCGAGGTAATGCTGATACTGTGCCCAGTTGAAACTGGCTGTGGCTAAATTTCAAAAGTCAACATGTGGACACATCCAACCCTCTAAAATTTTATGATTTAATTCCATTCACTTTCACAGCAAGATCCTAGTGTCTAATCAGTATTCTAACCTTTTATGGGGAAGCATCTCTTTCTGCTCAGCTTCAACAATCTAAGGCAGGACTGTACCTGGCACATGTGAAAAGCGAGTCCTACAACCCAGAGGATGTTCTATGCTACGAAGGACGTAGGGACAGATGTAAGACAAAATGAGAAAGGGGCATGCTGGCATCCTTACTAGAGTGACTGAGGGCTGGTTGCCTTTTTACAGGCTCTTGCTGGAGTTTTCTCATGATTTGATGTACAAACCCTTGGGGTGAACCCATCACTCCCCAGAGTGGCATTTTAGTTTGGCATTTACATAGCAAGCTACTTAGTGTGTCTGGGCCCCAGAGAGACAGGAAGAAAGACGGTAATCACTTTGCCCCTTCAGGGACAGTTCTGTATTTCAGGCACAATGCAGATGTAAGCACAATGCCTTAAAAGAACCACTTCAAATTCAGAGCTTGGTTTAAAGGCTAGGCACTGCATCCCAGGTGACAATAACTAAAAGCAGCATTGTCAGTAATGATATTAGTAAGACACTAATGCATGCTGCAGGCTTAATAATAGGAGATGGGACTCTAGATATAAGTACCTGGTGTGTACCTCTGCTCATGTGTTCACACACTCCTTACCGCCACCCCTGGGGCAGGCACCATTATAACTTCACCAGATGAGGAAACTGAAGGACAGAGAAATGAAGTAACTTGTCCAGGGCTGCATGGCTGGGAAGTGACAAAACTTCAGCGAACTTCACATGTATATGTGCCTGTGTGTGAGCATGGGTTAAATACGGTTTAAAATGGCTCCTTGAAAAGCAATAGGACCCTATTTATTTGTCTCTGCAGGAGACAGATACCCTGTGAAAGTATTTTCTTCATTATTAGGGGTTATGCACATTCTATTAAAGAAACCTGGTGGTGGATGGCTTTAAAAGGTTTATCTTCAATGCAAGCCAATGATTTCTAAAACATTTTGGGGAAATGGCTGTAAGCTGATTCACACGGTGTCTCAAAACTTAGCTCAAGTGATGAAAATGTGTAGATTTTGTTCACCACAAACAAATTGGCCTTTTCTTCACCTTGCCTGATTTGTCTTAGTCCCCCTTGGCTGCCACTGAGTCATAGGTAAATATTTCCTTTGTCAACCTGCCCTTTCTCTTTCTCTCCGTAAATTGTGTCTGGACTTATTTTTGATAACGGCTGTTTTTCTCAGCAGAAAGATGCATCTCCTGGAGTTTTGCAAACATTTTGGCTTTTGTCATCAAACACCATCTAAGGATAAATAACAACATCTAGGGGTTTTTTTAAGTTACTGAACATAATATTATCAGTAAAGAAGGTGTAAGATCAGGGTCTCCTAAACCTGCCCCCCAAATAATGGGCATTTGATAAAAGGAACTATTAACTGGAAAGGGAGACGGGGGTTGCATTTGACTAATCCCTTTACCATCATTATAAAGTACACAGTCAATACTTTATAATCTATATGATGGAGTTTTGTGTATAATAATATTCAATAATAAGGAAAAATGAATGGATGGATGGATGGATGTTGTATAATTAATACAACATTAATTATAAATGTTGCCATCCCTGCCCTCACCATATAAATAAATTTTTGCCCAATATTAACCTAAAAGCTGAAGGGAAAAAATTACTTTAGATGTGTTGAGTTAGTTGCGGGCAACTATCCACTTAGCATCATCTTGTAATGCTATGCATCCCCACTCCTGAATGCAGCATTATGCACATATGCAATTTTCCATCTTGGTAATGACCTTCCCAACTGATGTAGAATGACAAAATGAAACTCTGATGGACAAAGAGATACGTAACTGTGCTAAGAATGCCTTTCCAGGCTTCATCCCAGAAGTTCAGAGGTTCATCCCAAGAGGTCCTAAAGGGCAAATGTAAAAACAGCAAGCACAATAAACAGCATCTCTATTACTAGAAAATAGCACACATTTGAAACTTCACTTTTACACGTACACACACAAAACCATTGCTAACCAGAATACAGTAATCCAAGAATACGCACGGAATTTTGTGCTCAATTTTTACCACAGCAAAAAGATATATATTCTTTTTCAAGCAGGCATTAGTTTGTACACCTACATGTGGACTATGTTGGTGTCAGTTTCAACAAAGTCAAGGAGAAGACTCTTTTTTAAGAAATCTCTAAGAAAGTAATTATTCATTGGTCCTTCATTAGGTGATGGAAATTTCAGATCACAAATTTCAGAACCACTAGGATGAGCCCAGATCACTGAGATTACTTACTTGAAAAAGGCGCAAATATTATGGGGGTTTATTACACATGCTATCACTTATTTAAAAACAAAAACAAAAATAAAAACTTTCTGCACCCACGGGGTTAGGGGTGAGGGGCAGGTAGAAGTAGTGAAAACCCAGTCTTCTGCCAAAGGATGTTATGAACTAATTCCCAAAGCAACCTAAGGAGAGGGTCTGTGCAAAAGAGCCACTTCATCTGCCTTCCCACTGCTTCCACTTTCCAAACTTGTTGTTGAAAGAAAGAGGGCGAAAGAAAAGAAAAGCCCACGCTATTTGCCATTTTCACTACCCCACTCTCGTGCCACCCCCAGTTAAGGAAATGTTGGTCCCGCCACAAATCAAAATGAATAATCTGATCACACTTGAGGAATCAGGGTAAATAAAGGCGCTGTGCCCTGTAATTATACAAACTGAACCATCTCAGGAGGTATTTAAACTATTTGGGGGTTGCAGGTGGAGGAGGGTTTCTTGGCGGTAGTTGTTCATTGAAATCTCTTACAGGATTTTTTTTTTTTTGAAACCTAGTCTGTGATGCAAAACCTGCTGTGCTAAATTATGAACCAAAGGCTTTGGGGTGGGAACAATCAATCAAAATACCTGGGGTAGTGTGTAATGTGCATGCTCTTGTCAGCATGAACAGGCTGCCCCTGAACACAGTCCCCCAGCAGGTTAAATAAATATGATACTGTAGACAAACCGACAGGATCACACGGCTGCATCAATCAGCTGTTGATAAAATACAATCTTCCTTTAATACACGCTGAGAAAGTTATTTAACACTTACAAAACCTATATCCATTTCTTGTCCTCTTTTTTTTTTTTTTTTTAAGTCTTCGAAAGTCTAACTCTTTTAAAGGACGCGGGAGAAGACGATGCGCTATCCCGGGGGAAGGAAGATTTGATGGCGCCAAAGAAACAGTGAGGCACAGCCATTTAACTTGGGGGTGCGGGGTGGGGAGCATAAATGACAGCGATTGGGAGTGGGAGAACCGGCCAGAGGGTCGGTGAAGCTTTTCAATGGATCTCGAACACTTGGGTGCCTTGTGGAAACTAGTCCTGCCGTGAAACGCCTGGTGCAAAGCCGAGCCACGCTGTTTCAATTCCGTTCTTACTTCAGCTCATTTCAGCTCTGCAGTCTGCTGCATCTGGAGCGGATGAGGACCTATTCTGGATTAATGGCGGGAGCGGGGGCGGCACATAATTTGAGAGGAACTCATTTAAAAGTGGGGAGCCTAAAGTGAACGGAAGAGAAAAACGACCCCACAGAGCCAGTGATAAAGGGGAGATGGTGGGTGACTTCACATTGGTGACACTTGGGGGTCAGTTAAAGGGAAGTAGGAAGACTGCTGCCCTGAGTTCGCAGCCGGGGTGGGGGTTTCCGCCTGTGCTCTTTGTGGCTCGAGAAACAGCTCCTCGCTCTGCTCAAGGACTCCCCTCTCCCCACTTGCAGACAGGCAAAAAATGGCAGGGGGGTGATGCCCGGACCCGCCGGAGCGCC